GAGATTCCTCAGGAAAATGGGCATCAGCCTACCACAAGACCCAAAAATTCCACTCTTAGGCATATATCCAAAAGATGAACATTCATACAACAAGGACATCTGTTCCAGTCTAGAAGCATTATTTGTAATAGCCAGAACCTGGAAGCAACCTAGATGCCCCTCATCTGAAGAGTGGATAGAGAAAATGTGGTACATTTACACAATGGAGTACTATTCAGCAGAAAAAAACAATGGAATCTTGAAATTTGAAGGCAAATGGATGATACTAGAAGAAACCATCCTGAGTGAGGTAACTCAGTCACAAAAAGACCAACATGGTATGTACTCTCTCACATATGGCTTTTAGAAATGGATCAGGGGAGTGCGAGCCTACAATCCCACTACCAGAGAGTCTGGGAAACAGAACCTTCATTCAATGGATGATGGAAGCAGAGGCAGACTCCTACAGCTAAACACTAAGTTGAACTCAAGGAACCCAGTGACAGAGAGCGAGGACTGAAGAGCAAAGGGGTTAAGCCTAAGCTGGTTTAACCCCCAGAAACAGCTGACCCGATCAAGAGTAGCTCTTGAATCCAAGCTGATGGCTGGGAATCCAGCATGGGACTGATCCAGACCCCCTGAATGTGTATATCAGTGAGGAGGCCTAGGCAATCTATGGGGTCTTGATTAGTAGATCAGTATTTATCCCTGGCATACAAATGGACTTTGAGGGCCCATCCCACAGTGAGAGATGCACTCTCACCCTGGACTCTTGGGGGAGGATCTATGCCCTGCCCTGGATGAAATGACAGACTATGGACACCCCCATGGACAGCCTCACCCTCCCTGGGGAAAGAAGGGTGTATTGGGGGGTGTTGGTGTGAGGGCGTGGGAGGAGGGAAGAGAAAGGGAGAGGGACCTGGGATTGACATGTGGAGCAACCTTGTTTCTAATTTACATTTAAATTTAAAAATAAAACAAAGGAAAAAAGAAAAAATGTAACATGTAATGGGCTACATGTATGTGGTATCCTTGAATTTTATTCAGCTTTTCTCAGCCTTTACTTACCCAAAGTTATAATCTAGAATAAAAAGAAGCTTTTAAGTTATTTTGATTCTGTTGAAAATAAAGTAAAATTGTAACTTCAAGGGATGTGAATTGGATGTGGCAGATTGAAAGCTATTTTTTCTTTAGTGTATGACATCAGCAAGCAAGAGAGTCTTCATTTGTAGTCACTCCCTCTGGATTCACTGAAAAGTAGAGACAAGCTTTCTGAATCATAATAGTAACGCATGGAGCTGAGAAAATGCCTATAGACCTAGTAATTGTCATTTGTCTTTACTTTCTTCTTCTGAGGCAAATGCTAATTTAAATGCTTACTCCTGGGGAGGTAAAGTGCTTCTGAATACACATGGAAGATGATTATTTCTCAAAGAAGGATGCCTTTTATTATTTAACTACATTCTTCAAAATAAAATGAACCTAAAAAATTCTTTCTGAGATTACAGAATGAAATTTTGTTGCATATTTTAATGGCCAACTAAACATTAGATGTGACTTTTACTACAAGTTTCTATGTTGACTGAAAGTAAGAATTAATTAGCTCAAAGAGCCCAAACCATGATTTTTGTTCTAGCCTGGACTAGGGAAATAAACCCTGAGATTTGTTGGTTTTTATAAGAAAAGTTTTCACATATAAGGCAGAAGGCTTTAGTTCTTTCTGGTAACTAGAAAATGTGTCCCCCATCCCCAGAATCTTCTGCCATCCCTGAAGTATTACATCGAGAAGTGTTCTAGATTAGGACTCCCTATCTCCAACCTCCACCAAGTGGGTTAGTCTGGAGTACCTAGGAAGAGAAGCAAAACATTGGTGTACAAATCCCAACAGATCAAGTTTTATCTCTGCTGATTTTAAGAAGTTGACCCCCTAATATCAGGACTCAGTCTTGTCTTTATGCTACTGCTTCAGTTCATTATCTTTGATATTCTCTGATCATTCCTGAAACTCTTGAATATATCCTCCATCCAATAAGAACTTAGCAAGTTTCTAAACTTTCAGTACTGTGATGTGCTCCGTTGGTACAGCTGTAAGCAAGTTTGAGTGCCCCTGCTCTCTATGGGCTCTCTTCTTAGCTGTGAAGTTGCCATGCACCATGAAAGGCATCGCAAGAGCACTGTCTAATTTCATCTAATTTTCCTCTTAGACATCTCTAGGGGACATGCTTTGAGAATTGTCTTTTAATATGAGAACTACAAGAAGGGTTTCCAGGCTGTATGTGTTAGAGTTTGGATGGTTTGGATGATGGGTGACTGAATCTTAAAAATCAACTCTCTTGCTTAAAAGAATAAAAATACAGGGATGGAGCAGGGTGACACTTCCCTGACACTGCTTGGTCACTTTTACCTCACTGCCCTTCACCAACTCAGCGCAGTGTGCCTCTCATCTTTTCATTTGTGTTTTTCCTCTGCCTTCAGGGTATAGCTCCCATCTGCTGCTCTCTTTACCAAACAACAGCAGTCCCTTGACTTCCTGCCACCTAAGGAATACTGAGACACTGTCATCTCAGATGGTGGATATACTTTTCAAGTGCAGAGCAATTTTAAAAATGCATTTTATGGCTGTCATTAAAGCATGTTTAAAAAATTGCCAGATGAGGTCATGCATTCCTGTGATCACAACACTCAGAAGAGAAGGCAGGGGGTTGTGGGCTTAAGGGTTGAGACTACCCTGAATGGTGTAGCTAGTTAGATTCTATGGGAAGAAAGAAGAACGATAGAGCAGGGGAAAGAAGAATAAGAGAGAGAGAAGAGAAAGAAAGGAAGGAAAATGGGAGAGAGGGGAGGAGGGAGGACAGAAATCATAAAGTCACAAGAGTACAGCATTAGACACAGAAATTTCTCCTTCAGCTTACAGTTCAAAGAGAAGGCTGAGTCAATACCTCTAAGAGGTTTTGATTAAACTTTTGATTTTTATCTCCATTTCTTTTAAAATAAGGAATTCAGGTACCCACAGTTCAGCCCACTTATTGTTAGGCATCTTGAGTATTCAAAAATTTTTTTGTTCAGATAATTTTTGAGCAACAGGAACTGATATACAAAAATGCCAGGCTTGGGACTAGAAGCAATAGAGGAGGGTGTTCCCTGACCCCTGTGTACTTTCTAATGTTCATTCTAAGGAATAGGTAATGGAATGGTTATGTCTGTCATGCCTGGATATGAATATGGCTGCTGCTAACTTCTGTTAGGAACCTCAAGGGAATTCCTTACTTGTTTTCAGCACTGGTTTTCTCTGTTGTGGAATGAAGATACTACCAGTTATTATGAGACCTAATGTGAATGTCAGCTACCATTCCTTCTGGCTTCACCCCCAAACTAAAAAAATGAGCATAGTATTCTGTAACGTGTTGTCTTCCCCCATTAGCCGTCTGGACCCTGCCAAGCTTTCTGAACCTCCAAATAACACACAAGACACTATATTAATTATGAAGTTGTTGGCCGTTTGTTTGTTTTTTTATTGGCTAGATCTGGCTTGATTATTAACCCATAATTACTCATATATATTTTACAAGAACTTATCTTTGTTAGGACGTACTCCTGTCACATCTGTCCTTCCAGGGAGTTACATGGCGACCAGCGTCTTCACTACATTTCCCAGAATTCTCCTAGACTCTTAGTCCCACCTATCTAGCTTCCCTATTGGCCAACAGTGCTTTATTGACATATACACAGGACTCTCCCATCAGTATTCTACTCAAAAGCCCCAAGGCATTCAAAGATCTTCTATTGGATTTCTGAATCGCCCTAGTTCTACTGGTCATAAGACTTGATATTCAGATTTTTGACCAGCCTACAAAACAAAGCCCCACTTTAAGTGGAGAATCTAGAAATTACCCTGGTGTTGCAAATACGGTCTGGAGGGATTTCTCCTAATGTATGTCCAAAGTGATTTGCACATTGTGCATCAGGATCTGGAAATGAGTTTCAAAGTCCACAGACTGGCAGCTTATTTCAGAAATGGGGAACTGAGGCTCTGTAAGGAGGCAGAACATAATCTATTAAAACTGTTAGGCACGGAGTGAACCGCTAAGCTACTTGGCCTCATTTTTCTTCTTACTCTATTGCTCTGTAGAAAGAACTGTCTGTTCACTTTGGTCAGGCAGGTCATAGTATTCATGTCTTCATGTTCCTAGGAAATCTGAGAACAGATCTTAGGTTTTTAAAATCTTACTTTCTTAAACGGTAGGCTTGATTTTCTCACGGTGTCATTTTTGTAAAAATCCAAGCTGAGCTTCATTGAATCTGCTGTGTTACACTTTTCACTGTAGAGTACGTGTGTGTGTGTGTGTGAGAGAGAGAGAGAGACAGAGAGACAGAGAGAGAGAGAGAGAGAGAGAGAGAGAGAGAGAGAGAGAGAGAGAGAGAATCTTCAAATCTACACATGATAGAAATAGCACACAATTCTCCTGGATTTCCATGGCCTGGGTTTCATTTAACTAAATATTTTCTATTAAATATGACTATTTCCAGAGAGGCAAGGGATAATAAAATAGAAATTACCTCTAAGGAATAGACAGAAGGGAATGGAAGATAACCATCTACTTTAAAATTGCCAGTCCCCATTCTATTAGCCCTTGGTTCTGAACACAATCAGAATCTTAAGGCTGAAAGAAGAGGGAATAGAAGGCACAGCGTAACCATTACCAAAAAAAAATCCCCAGAACTACTCACTCTCTGTTAGTTTTTAGTGCCTTAGTTTCCTCCTTATAAGAAAAAGCAGAATGCACTTCTGTGCAACCAAATGAATCAGAACAATCAAGAAATGAATCAAAACAACATGGCATCACTCTGCAGTCCCTTAACAAAAAAATGTTTTCTTTTAGATATCTTCTTGGTGCTTGAAAACATAGTGACTTTTGCTTTGGTGTCACATGAAAATAGAACAATTGTAGAGTGACATCATAATTAGGTTTGAAGTTCTCACAATGGTGCCATCACCATGAATTTCTTAGCAGAATTCAATCTCAAGGGACTTGCTAAGAATCTGGACTGAAGGAATCCAGGCAGAGGAACCACATTGCTTCCCATGGAAAAGTCAAAAGCATTCCTCCTGGCTTTCTTGGCTACTAGCTATTTCTCATGTAAGAATCTGTCAAAGAACTCCAGGGAAGGAATGAGTTTTTAATATTCCAGTTTGGGGGAGCAAATAAATAAGTACTATTTAGGTGTAGAAAAAAAATGGAAACCTGAGTCTTTTCTCAGAGATTAAGAATTTAATATGTTAACCAGAATGAATATGAGTGGTTGACATGCTTTTGTTTTTGTTTTTAATGTTCTAAGGAATCTGTCACAGACAGGTTTAGATTTGGGTTTTAAAGCAACAGTCTATGAGGGCTACAATCAATATTTGAGAGATAATTTGGCCTTCTGTGTTAGCTATCAGTATTTGTTTCACTGTTTTTCTTCTTTCTAGTTCTTTCCCCTTGACTCACTCTCATCTCTGTCTCTCTGTCTCTCTCTCTCTCTCTCTGTGTATATATGTGTGTGTGTGTGTGTGTGTGTGTGTGTGTGTATGTGTAAAACTGGTGTGCATGCACAACTCAATTTTAAAAAGTAACGTCAGCTCAGCTTTGGAAATAGCTTACTAATAAAAGACTATAGATGTCAAATCTCTGGGTGCCTCAGTATGCCCCTACTAACGTTTTAGGTTATTTGCCACGTCGATGGTAGAATAGAGGGACAGGTGAAGGAATGTCCCAGGAGCAGTGCTTGAAAGAAACCAAGGTTGTGAAGTCAAAGGTAAAATATGGAGGGAAAAGAAGCATTAACAATGTGGGTGACTATTGACATAAGATCTCCTCACAAAGAAGCTACCTTACCAACAGGTAGGAAATAAAGAAAGGAAGGTTTTATTAGAGACAGAAATAACCAATGAAGGTGACATCTACGGTGTCTGTCAACAAACAGCTGGGATGATAGGAAGAATTAGTCCTTTCTCAGAAACCCATCTTCTCAATACCTGTGGGTCCCAGTAGTGTATGACATTGCTGAGTCCCCAATGATGAAGCTTGGGGTTATGTCCTGTTTGAGATCAGCAGTAAATCTAGGAATAGGTCAAGGTTGAGTTTTCAGACCAGATATCAAGGCTTTTTAAAAAATGTCTATTATTTTACACGTTTGGATATTTTACCTGCATGTATGTCTATGCCTGGTGACCATGAAGAGCAGAAGAGGGCGTCAGATCCCCTGGAACTGGAGTTACAGATGGTTGTGTGTCACCATATAGATTCTGGAAATCTACCCCAGAGCAACAAATGCTCCTAAGTGCTGAACCGTCTCTGAAGCCTGAGAGTATCTAGAACAAGAAGAGAGAAAGGAAACAAATTTGGGGATCAGGCATGTTTCAGAACTTTGTGTTAAAGAGAGAGCTTTCTCAGTTCTGTGGTCAATATTTATGTAACTGACTTGATGAGCTACACATTTCTATACCTCATTATTTTATTGGATGCTTTAACATTTTTATTACAGATATTGCTGGTGACACATCATTTAAGGTAAGCTCACCTCTATAAGAATAATTTGCCACTCTTGTAGATTCTTTTATTTTAAACCATATGGTCATTAGCATATGGTTAACCATGTGGTTAGCATCTGGTCATTTTCAATCTTCAAGGTATTAGTTTCATATTTTTCAGACTCCAGAACACTGTCAAAATCAATCCTGGGGATCAATCAGACACTCTCATACCCTTTTTGTCACTGGCAAAGAAAGCTCCTAACTGTTCCCTCTTTACTATCTTTTCATCTTTCTATCTGCACTGACTCCCTTACCATTAGCCTGTTCCAAGCACTGGCACACTACGGTCACCTGTTTTAGAGAATAGTTTTCTTGGAATCAAAGTGTATTCCTACTTTGTAGCTATGGTGCTTTTCAGGTCACTACAGAGTTAGGTAGTTACATCAGAAGCCAAATAGCTGAGAAATCACTAAATATTTATCACCTAGCTCTGAAGTGGAGACATTGGCCAGCCTCAGCTTTAATCTTGAGGATAGTGTCTTTACAATACAAACCTAAGTGAAATATCTTTCTACTCAGAGCACTGACACCTAATGTCATTAAAATGTTGTCCTGCATACCTCACAGTGCTTTTTTTCTCCTGGAAAGACATCTCACCTATTCCTTTCTAAATTCTAGTTAATGGTGTATAGGGGCAACATGCTATTTCAATTTGTGCTATTGAGTATATTAATTTTATCTAGTTTTTTTAAATTTTGGGCAATTTCATACATGAGTAAAGTATTTATATCATCCCTGCTCCCCCAAAGCCACAGGGAAACATAATTTTATACATTTACTTACAAATACATATACTTGTCTCTAATTAAATATTGTCATAGAAGTGATGGCTCAGTGATTAAGAGCACTGGCTGATCTTCCAGAGGACCAGGTTCAGTTCGCAGTACCTATATGGTGGCTCGCAACCATTCTTAACTCCAGTCCTTGGAGAGACACCACACTTTTCTGACCTGCAAGTGTATTAGACATACACACAGTGCACATATACACATATAAGCAAAACACCCATATGTAAGAATAAAAATAAATCTTTAAAATAATACTTTCCTTATGCCCATATTCAACTTTAGATGTCACCTTTGTCTCACCAAAGCATCAATTCTTAGTAGGATCCATTAAAGATACCATTCTGACTTAATTACTGAAAAAAAAGATAGAAACAATATTTCCCTCAAAGAAGTTGAGTAGTTTCAGTATTTTTCATCAGCATGATAATGAATCTCTTATTTCAAAAATTACTGTTATTCTGTAATGTTTTAGAAACATGTAACTGTAATTTCAAATTTATTATTGACAATTATTCTTAAGACAAATTTATAGTGTTCACAAAGTTCATAAATGGTCAATTTAAAGAAAAATATTTTAAAGAAACATATCACACAAACTTGGAAGGAATCATAAATGAAGTGACTGAAGTGTTGGAAAAAGCTCTGTAGTGGGAGGTACCAGAGACTTCCAGAGCACCGAAAAGTCTGGTGTTCTGTGTACTGCATGTGAACGTCCTGTGAGCTGGACTGCTAGAGTATGCTAGAGTAAGACAGTGCAACAGCACCTGCCTGATCAGTGTGCTACACAATGTTATGACTTCCCAGCCTCCCTTCTTTCTGTAGATATTCTAATATTCACAATGTCCCAGGAAAAGCTAATGTCACTTAATGCTGCTGAAGAAAACAAAATGGTGATAAACATTAGAACTATTTGGCATGGCAACTCCTTCCCTTTCTGTTCCAGAAACCCAATTCCCAGAGGCCTGAACTGTAGCCAGGGTTTGGTATAGGAACAAGTACTGTGTTGTGTCCCAGACACTACAGCTACAATATGAATCTGAAGAAATAAAACTATTGCCACAACAACTATAAAATGCTAAGTCCTTCTTATTCCTTCCCCCAAGTGGTTCTCTACCCTTCTAATAGATTTCCAGTACAGTCAAGGGTCTGGGCTACATAGCCTCACTTACCTTACAAAATGCTAATCACAAAGGACCTGCTTGCTGACTTTATCACAGCATAGTTTTGATATTTGAGGTTAAATGGGAGTCGTTTTACCATTGCTGTCCTTTGCATAAAATAAAATTTCCAAACACTTTATGTTAGAAGCAGTGAACAGAGCATCAGAAGATAGAAAGTGTTAACCTGTGAGTTTTGTTTTAGGTCATTTCGTGCAGTCATTATCAAAAGAAGTTTGTGCAGAAGAAACACATATGCTCCATAAGAGTCAGCCCATTGTGTGCTTCTAATAATGTTACATATCCTAATTCCTGCGTGTACTGCTTTGCCAACATGTAAGTTGACATGACACCAAAACCAGAACCCTTGGAGAGTCTAATGTATATCTGATGCACAACTACAAGTTGGTATTTACTATTTGAGCCTGTAAACTAAAAATCGGTAGGTCACTGGCTGAGCTCAAGGGTTGTGGGTGATGGAGAGAGGTGGGACACTGAGTCCCACCTCCGTGTTCATAAGAGAAGTTAGAGTGTGTTTGAACATTAGTTTTATTAGGAGAATGGATGTTGAACATTATTTTTGAAAATGTTTGAAAAAAATCACCCTTGACAAGATCAGACCAAAACAAGAAGTCTCAGTACTCAAGGTGAGAAGGCTTTAGGTGGAGTCCTGCTCCTGTGGTGATTGAAAAGTCTCGTAATTCTTCAATCCCCATGTTCTTGCCTTCAAACCTAACATTCGTCCTATTTTTACTTCATTTATCCTTATGCTTCAATCACACTAACTCTTCTTTCCAGCTATTTTCAAATGTATAGAGCCTGTTTCTGCTTCTAAAACTTTGGACAAAATTTCCTCATCTCCAAGAATATTTCCCCAGGGTTTTCCCAGGGCTACTGCTTCTTCATTGTTTGTGTTTCAACCTAAATCGATTTCTTTTTTAGTAGTAAGTCTACCTTCTCAGAGGAAAAGATTCTTCCCTGAACACAGGTGCAATTCACCTCTGGTGTTTTCCATATTACATCTTACCTTTCTTAATACATGTAGCCCCCCAATATTTTAATTTTCTGTTTTTCTCATTTCTAATCTGTTGTCATACATAAAGTAAAAACAATATCAATTACTAGATTTTATACAGTGCTGCATCAACTATGCCACTAATAAGTGTTTATTTAACAAACTAGATACTTCTCAAGAGTGAGTATAACAATGAATATAAAATTCACCTCAAAATTTAAGGCACCTTTTCAGCATTAAAAAATGCTATCACTTGATATTTTGCTTCAGTGTCTCAAGTCACATTGCTATAAGTAAAGACTCTAACATGAGTGACATGGGTTGTGATCTCAATTCATGTTTATGTGGTTTAAGACATCTTAGTCAGTCTCACAATTACTCCCAGGGACTGGCAATGTTAACTGAAAAGATAATACCTTAAGAAGGCTTAGCATAGTGGGCCTTAGTAAATAAGAGCTTAAGTGACTTGTGGCTGCTGCCAACTGGAGACACAGCCAACCTGATTTTCCTGGGTTCCTCTGGGATATGGTGTTTTGACAAAGGACAGTGATGAAACACCCAGAGTGGGTGAAAACTTACCACCAATTTGTCTTCACGGTCAGTGCTGCTAGTGTTCATTCTGTATTTACTGATTCATTCAGGCCAGCTAACTTGGTCTACAGTTTTAATCAACAGTACAATAGTATCTTCTGGACTATCACAAGGCTGCACTTAGTAGGTTTTTTCAGGACAATTCTGTTACATGGATAATAATTCCTTTGAAGAAACTAAGTACATGACTGTTTTTCTTCTAAAGTTAGTATTGACCTTCCTCTTCTGTCCTATGTTCAGATTCACTATATAACCCCATCTCCTGAAGGTCAAGGTCTGGGGCAAAGAAAAACCTCTCAGGCTTAAGATCTTATCATTACAGTTTACATTTTAATACAATAGTAAATAATAAATCCCATTTCTTTTTTAATTTTTTTAATTTAAATTAGAAACAAACCTGCTTCATATGTCAATCCCAGCTCCCTCTCCCTCCCCCCTCCCCCATTCCCCACTAGTCCCCCACCCCATCCCCCCTCTGCTCCCCATGAAGTGTGAGGCACTCCATGGGGGATCCCCAAAGTCTATCATCATCCAGGGCAGGGCCTACGACCTCCCCCATGTGTCCAGGCTGAGAGCACATCCCTCCATGTGGAACAGGCTCCCAAAGCCCATTCATACGTCAGGGATAAATACTGATCTACTACCAGAGACCCCATAGATTGCTGAGGCCTCCTCACTGGCATCCACTTTACGGGGGTCTGGATCAGTCTGGTGCTGGCCTCACAGCAATCTGTCTGGATTCCATAGCATAGTGGGCCTTAGTAAATAATAGCTTCTTCTGTGGGTTTCCCCAGCCTGGTCTTGACCCCTTTGCTCATCACTCCTCCCTCTCTGCAACTGGGTCCCAAGAGTCAGTTCACCATTTAGCTGTGGGTGTCTGCCTCTGCTTCCATCAGCCACTGAATGAAAGCTCTAGGATGGCATATAGGGTAGTTATCAATATCATTATAAGGTAAGGGCATTTAAGATAGCCTCTCCACTATTGCTTAGATTGCCAGTTGGTGTTATCCTTGTAGATCTCTGGAAATCTCACTAGTGCCAGATCTCTCCTCAACCCTATAATAGCTCACTCTATTATGGTATCTCTCATCCTGCTGTCCTCTATTCTTCCCCCAAATCAAACCTCCTGCTCCCCCATGTCTTCCTCTCCCCTCCTCTATATTAATTCAGTTACTTCTAAAGTAATGACCTTACTTGCAATATTCAGCCAGGACACTGTACCATAAATCATGAGTAGCAGCAATAAGTGCACATTCAGGACTAAACAGCCATCTTCTTGTTATCATTCATCATTTTATGATAATTATTCCAGTGGGTAGGAGGTGGTACCTGACATTATATCTTATATTTCCTTAATGACTTGTTACAGGTATTATTTCAAAGACTTAATAGTCATTTACATACTTTCTCAAATTCCCTTTTCACTCTCTAGCCATATTACTTATGGCTTTTTTTTATGGTAGAAATGCAATTATCCTTCATTATGGGTACATTTCCATATGATATGCTGAACTTCAAATCTTTTTTTCTAGTATATGTTTCACTTTACTAATCATGTCCTTTAAAGCACAGAAAATTTTAATTTTGATGAAGTACAATTGATCTATTGCTTGTACTTTGGGGTCATTTTTAACCTGGGGGTATAAAGATCGACTATTGTGTTTTAATCCCATAAAAGAGTGATGCGTTCTACTTCAAATTCCTTGAATGTTTGCCTTGAGTTTATATTTGTTTTGTTCGTCTACGATGATTTAATTGAATATGTTACGCATTATGAGATTCGAACTGTTAATGTCTTTAAAGCTTTTGCACACACATATATTGATTATTGAGCCTATTCTTCTTCACACTCCTCACTTCCCTTTTATGGCCCTTTGTCCCCCAGATGTTTCACTTACATTTTCATGTCATATGTTTAGATACGTACACGCATATGCATGTATGATTGACTTGGCTAACATATATAAAACAACAAACCATTAATGAGAAAAGGCACATAGAATTCATCTGAGATTGGCCTCATTTACTTGGTAAAATTTTTTCAGTTACATTCATTTTCCCACCACAATTCCATTTCTCTATGTAGTTTATTTGGATTTTGTGTGATGCTGATAGTATTAGGGCATTCAGTTTTGTTGTTTTGTACATGAGCATCCTGTTTTCCCAGAAACATTGTGGGGGAAAAAGCCAATTCTTTCCTTTATTGAATTGTCCGAGCAGTTTTATTCAAATTGGTTTGACTGTAAATATCCATTTCTGAACTCTCAATTCTTTGAGTGTATGTGCCCTTTATCTCAATACTTCACTATCTTTATTACTATAGTTTCTTCTCTATGTTTGGAATAGAGAAGCATGAATGGGTTCTTCATGTTGCCGTTTCAGATTATTTGGTTATTTGGCATCCTGTACTTGGGAAGCAGTAGAGATGTTTCCACAGAATAACGCACAAATGTCAGCACCATAACTCTGAGCCTTAATATTAGGCATGTTAAATATTGCAAAAATAAATAGCTTCTATAATTGATTGTACATTTTAATTAATATTTAATGACAAACACTTGCTTATGTTAATGTGGTTGTGTTGTTGCACACGACAAGGATATATATCACTTCTCCAAGACCCTTTACTGGCAAATATTTCCCAAGCTATTTTTCAAAGAGTTCTTGGCATCTCTTCATAATGAGACTACAAAGTGTAGTTCTCCAAATAAAATGTGCACCTTTTACCATGGCAGCGCTGCCAAGTAAGAGTCCTGGCCTGTGCGCAGGCCAGTTCAGAACCGGCTCTATGTCTCCTGCACCATCTCTGAGGAGTTAGCAATGATCTGACTCATACTCCCATGCTTAGCTTCTTTCAGGCTTTAGTCTTTCTCTTTTCAGATTTTCCAGGAACTAAAAATGTGAGTCCAGGTCATATTTGTGATGCTGTGGGAGGGCAGAGACACTTTGACCCTCACCACGTGTGGCTCCCTCCTTGTTCAGTCCCCAGCACTGCTTCTGCTTAATATTGTACCCAAAATCTGTGACTTTATGCTTTGCTTAAAGATTCATTACTTGTTTGTATTTATTTAATTTGCTTTTTGTAGTGATTGGAATTGAATCCATGTGTTACACATGCGGCAATAACTTTATTTTTGAGTTACACCCAGAACCTCACATACATCAACACAATTTTTCAAAAATCTTATTATGTATTTAATGTCAAGTTTTCTACAAGCAACTTTGCTACATAATATTAAGCGTAAAAATGAAACTACTGTATAATATATATAGTGACAGGACTTTAACATAGATGAATTACATATAAGCAAATATAAAGTATTAGAAGAATACATGATTGTTATCTTTTTAAGACTTGTTAATATATGTGATTTTAACTTGAATGTGTTATATACCAGGTTCTACTTAGCAATTATCTCCTTCACTATTCAAAACTGCTTTACAAAGTAGATATAAAAATGCCTACTTTTAGCTTTATATACAATAAAACAAACCTAGTAAGACTTGGAACTTGTCCAACTTACAAATAAACCTGAAAAATTCATCTATACAAGAAACAGGCTTTCTTAGCTTCCCATTTTATTATCTCAAGATTAGAATTTCTTATCTGTACAGAAATCTAGAATTTTACAAAAACTGTTTCTTGGACTGGAGCTGTAGCCCAGGGACCAAGCCTTGCATTGCAGATATGAAGCCCTAAGTTTTATCCTGAGCACCACAAACTTCTTTTTAACTGTCATTTGTCATATTAATGTTTAATAAGCACCTGATGAATTCCAGACACTAGTGCCAGGTGTAGTGAAAGCAAAGCAAACATCAAACAAGACACTATCATCCTCAGACTACTGGCTCAAATAGTATGCATATAAGCCTACTTTATGAGAAAATAATTTCCTAAAGGAGGGCCCTTATAATACTCATGACAGTATTATGTAGTAGGATAAGCATGGAGATGTCATTCCCTTTCATATATAAAAACGGACTCCAACCTTAATAATCTTAACCAAGTTTATACTGGGTGTATTTCTAGAAAATGGATGTTTTCATTGTTTCAAGTGGGTTTGGTGTGGATATTTTTAGCTTTTAAAAGGCTGGGATGATTTAAAATTTAATATGTATGTAAAGCCCACGGACAGCAACTTGGTGTGACGTGTAATAATTGAGTTTCCCTTGTAATTATGACTCTGTTGATACATTTTCCCTGATTTTTTCCATGCTCCTCTGTTTTATTTCTTGACCATTATGTTATTTTTCTCATGATAGGTGATACTTCTGTTTACAGTTTATTCAGCATTTCACAATGAGCTCCCATCTAGGTTACTGAAATTGTCATGAATTTTTATAGATCTGGTCATTATAATTCAGAGAAGTGAAAAAATTTCCCAGGATACATCAACTTCTTGATTTCCCCTCTTTCTATCTCTTAGGGCACAGGTTTTATCTTTGCCAAAAACTCTTATAATTATTGACCATGGTTACAAAACAAAGGGATCTCCATGGCAGAAGGGTGTGGTAGAAATATTTAGTGAGATGAGAAGCAAATCTCTGTAGCTCAGGTTCATGTATAACTCAGAAGCTTGCAAATCAAGGCTCCTGTCCCTTATAGTAATTATACAATCGGACTAAGAAGAAGCAAGGTTATATTTCATACAAATTGTGTTTAAATATTTATATCACTTTTCCTTAGAGCTTTGGATTTCACTCTTCGAATTCAATACAGTGGAAAATGTATGAAGCCCACTTCTTGATTATTCTTCATTCAGCATAAGTGAGACATATGGATCAAGCATCACCTGTTCTTCATCAGGCAAAATTCATTATTATTACTTTTACAAACCAATAAATTTGATCCTATGGAAAGCTCCTCTTTGGCTTGAGATATAATTAATGAGACATGTGAGAACTGTGTTTGATTCTAGAAATAAAACATTAAATTGAAATTATCCCTGACTGAAACATTCATAATTTAAGGAACTAATTGAACTACTAGTCATTTGCCAGGAAATAGTATTTTTTATGAGACTCAGAAATTTGGCTAGATTCTTGATTGTCAATTGTAACAAAAAAATGATTGCACTTCTGCAGCTTACACTCCAGGGGAGAAACAAGAAAACATATAATTATTTAACAATACTATACAATGTGAGAAAGAGGAAATCAACACAGGTTAGCCTCCTATCATGTATGAGTCTTGCTAAAAGATGAATATTTTCACAGAATATTCACATCTGACAAAGCCATTTTGTGCCTATGATGAATCACAACAAAGGTTGAATAACTAGTTAACCATGTCTGAATACTAGCAAAATATGCACATTATCTAAGCAACAGCATATCAGATACAGCCCTCTACTAAGACTAATAAAATGAGTGATGTTTCACCAATTACTACTTTTTCTTAGACTCAATCATCCTTCCTTCTCATTAAGATTTCTGAAGACACCCAAGTGAAAGACTGTGCCTGCTTTATATGCGTACCCAGTCCAAAGCAAAGCCTCCCTTCTTTAAAACTTCCTCACAATGAGCTCAACAATACAAACTCCTACAGTAGGTCCTTCCTAATGCCTTCTTATAGGCATGTTCTGTGGCTCTCCAAGGTGTGCCTTCTCCAAGGCTGTGATGACTAATAGTAACACAAATTTGTTCAACTTTTGCTGTGTTCCTGGTGGCCTTTGGATGAGACCATAGCAAGTGTAGCACTTGATCTCTGTTGTTCATGAAATCTTCTTCTCCTTCTCCTTCTTCCTCCTCCTTCACCTTCTTTCTTTTCTTCATCTTTCTCCTTTTTCCTCTTTTCTCTTCCTTCTCTTCCTCTTAGCCTTCTTTTTTCTTCTCTTCTGCAAGGACATCTACAGAGTCACAAAGACTATGAAAACATATTATCTCCAGCTTTTGATCAACAAGAAATATTTGTTGATTTACTCGTCATTTTATTAACTCATTTACTACTTTGCCTTCCAAATAACCTAAGTGGTCAGTATTGTTAATGCAGTCATGCACACCAAAGAAGGCTGCTTAGTGCTCCTAATAAAGACAGCATCCTGACCAAAGAATATGTGTGACAGAGGAGCACTACGGTGGGGTGAGGGAGCCACGTAGCACTGATGTTTAAGCAATACTGCTTCCCACACAGTGGGGGGTCTCCTCTTCCCTTTTGTTTTCTAACATATCAACTACCTGTTGTCAGAGTCTACACAATTCTAGGTCACTGTGAGCATCTTCTCTGCTGGTCTCTCATTCTCATCTCTGTTCTCATCTATCTTCTGACTACAAAGCTCAGACTAGTCTTAAAATCTAGAGATTACTCATTTTCTTCCTTAGCCTTGACGACTTTGAGACTCAAGACAAATCCTCACATAAATCCACATTAAGTCATTTTTGTCTAACCTAGTAATATTCTTGAAAAATACTAGCCTCATACCAGGATTTTAAAGTACACAAGGGTCTTGATTTTATTGAAAAAAATTCATACAATATATAATAACGTTTTCACCCTCTGTTAACCCTCCTCCCACAACTCCTCCCAGATCCTCACCACTTTCCCATTCACCCAGCTCCATGTCCATTTCTCTTTCTTACTGTCTCCCTTGATGCTTATTTATCTGTGTCAAGAGATGCTATTAGCATTTAGAGCCACTAGTAGTATTTAGTGGCTGAAGCCCTTCAATGTCCTGTCCTGATTGAAAAAAAAGACCCTCCAAATGTCAACCATGTTCCTATGAAAAACAACTATCCATCCAGATGAGAGCTGTTGATTAAATTCATACCTTCTGCTTCTAGAGTCCACAGAAGTTTATGGTAATCAATGACAGCACACTCCACTGAGCTGGGTATGGCCTCAAAAATATCTCTCAACAGAGCAGCTAGGCATGTTCTGCCATCAGACTCCAAGGAAGAGAAACACTATCTCTGTTCTTACCCTTTTCCCTTTTAAACTAAGTGACTGTCATGGTCCTTTAAACCCTATTGCACTATTTCCTTTCTATACCTTTCGTCATGTGAGTCTTTCTGATGCACAGGCTCTTAGGGAAGAAGCCTGCTGCTGAGCAGTTATACTTTATTGGTTATACCTTCACAATTGTCATCCTTTTATTGATGTTCAAAGTTAACAAGGAAGGTAATGTGTTTTATTATACAGTCAGCATGTGCCTTTGTCAGTAACTATTTGAGAGCATTTGCTGCAGTTGCTTGCCTCAAATTCAGTAAATAAATTACGCCATCTAGTGGGGAACCCAGAAGTAGTATCTTGAACTTATTTGACAGGACAACAATCTCCATCATTTTCTGTATTGATTGAACTCCCTAGTTAAAAGAAATGAGTGAAAGGAAACAATATGGGGAGGTGCATGCAGTTGGAAGTAGAAGAATATATGGAGTTAGGATTCTATGATAATCTGTAAAGTTAAAAAAGTTAAAATTCAGACATGGTTGTGTGAAAAATCATACATTTTGCCAGGAATCTCTCTCCATTTGTTGGTTAGGTCCGGGATTTTATCTATCTTATAAACAATTTTGGGGGGAATTTTATATATGATTGTTTAATTTACATTATCCCCTCTAATTCTAACTCCTCCCTTGCACTCTTAAATTCATGATGTGTCTTTCTTATTATTATTGTTATATTCACATATGTATAAATATATAGATACCACCAGCTGAGTCCATTTGGTGTTATTCATATATGTATTTAGGACTGACTACTTGGTATTAGATAATCATTTAGGGAGTTCACCCCTAGGGAAGACTGATTATTCCTCTCTCAGTAGTCATTAACTGTCTGTAGCTCTTCCTCAAGGTGGAGGGACTTTTTGAGATTTCCCCTATCATATCGGCATGCCAAATGGTGTTGTTATTGTTCTGATCTTGTTTAAGTGACCAAATTGTTGAGATTTCATGACTGTAGCTTCCCTGTCTTATGTAGAAAACACAATCTTTCAGTAGATAATGGTTCTCTGGCTCTTACAATTGTTCTGTGCCATTTTTCAAGATTTTCTCTGAGCCCTAAGTGTGAGGGCTGTGTTTTTAATGAATCAACTGCAGCTGGATGGTTATTCTTTACAGATTGACTAGCTGTGGATTCTGTGATGGTCTTTGTCTTCTGGAAAAAGAAGTTTCTTTGATGATGGGTGAGAGCTATACTAAACTATGGGCAGGAGGTTTACATATTTAGAATAAAATCATATCCCAGAGGTGGTGGCATAAGCCTTTATCCCAGTACTCAGGAGGAAGAGGCAGGCAGGGCAGATCTCTGTGAATTCAATGACAGCCTGGCCCACAGAGTGAGTTCCAGGACAGCCAGGGCTACACAAAGAAACCCTGGCTCAGAAAACTAAAATAAATAAATAGGTTAAAGAAATAAATAGAAAGAAGTCAGAAATTATACTGCTTTGGGAAAGCAACAATAGTAGGTTTTTTCTAGGTTCTCTGACCTCAATAGCAAAGACTAGTTAGCTATATTTATAGTAATAGACATGAATTCCCTCCTATTGATCAAACCTTAAGTCCAATTAGACAGCTGCTGGTTACCACCAAACTGTAAGTGCCACTATTGCCATTTTGGGGACTGTTCTAGTTATTGTTACAGTTTCAAGGTGTGGCATCTAGGTAAAACTATTGCTTGCTTCTCTCTCTTGGAAGTTTACATAACACTTCCCTGTGTTGTGAAATCTAGTCCTCAGAGAGAAGACTTTAAGGTCATATCCAGTTTGATTGCTCCAAGTCCTATGTCCAAAATGTCGAGTGTCTTCAGCAACACGCACTCACTTTCAACTTCTCATAAGAAATTCAGGGCAATGGCAACATACTATACTGTTTTGTGGCATGTGGTGGAGCATACCTTGGACCCCCCTGACAAAGAACTTATAAAGTTTTCTCATACCTGATACTGGTGATTTTGGTAGTCTATGGCTCTTGGGGGAAGCATTAACACTAAGTAGTTTAACTTCATTACACACACTTACATATATGTGAAGAATTCTTGCCAATTGGATGACAAACAGGTAATTCAGGTCTTACCCTTTCTAGACCTGAATTTCTACGGCTTTTAAACTAAACTTCAGGCCTGATGGTTTTCTATCACTTGTACCTCCCAATCTTTCTTCCTCTACAGCCTTAGTTTTCCCATGTGATCCAAGTTTGGGGCTTCTCTTATCCTGTATCCTCATGTTCATTATAAGAAATGGCAAACTAAAGTTTGAGAGTTCTGCAGTTCACCTGGGACCCAATGAGTTTATTAGGCTTACATACACACCTTGGGTGAGGGGGTATGGACAGAGGCATGAGTGACCCTAAAGCAATGAAAGTCAGCATCCAGAACAGATGATCACTCCTCCGTGAGCACATAAGGCCCTCTTTCCCCACTCTATATACTCTAGCATATCTCCATGACTCCTAAGACCAGGTGCAAGAATGGTTGAAAGGAGTGTCTAGATACCTAGGTGGGGGTTCAATGTCCTTTCCTACACCATTCACCATAAAGGATAGCAACAGTAAAGAAGCCTGCATGAGATGACTGTTTGCAAGCAGAAACACCTGGTCTTATGAGGGTGGCATCTGTTCTGCTAGGAGGGTGATACAGTAAAATGCAGAGGATAGTATTTATATGCTTTTCTTGTAATTCCTTCTGCCTTTCCTTTGACTCTGTGGACAAGAGTTCCTGGGAGTAAGCTATGTCTGTAAATGTTGATTGAGTGAGCCAAACTTCAGTGATGTGGAGAAGCTGGCATGTTGCAGGTCTAGACCATAGTTACAGTTTATCTGGGGCTATTTTATGCTACAAAATAGTTACTTCTTGCTCCTTTCTTTGTCAGGCCTAACATTTTAACAGACAAAAGACTTCTGGAATATATGAACTTAACAA